AGCCACAGCTGTTTGCCATTGTGTGATTCCGAATGGTCTTATCAAAATTTTTGTTGAACTAATTTTGTTAAAGCAAGCTGAACTACTTGAATGTTGCAATATATTTTCTTTTGTAAGACCCAGTGATATTGTATTTATGTATATGTACAGATATTACAGGAAAATGAAGGAGCACAATATCATCAAGTGGGGCAGTTATTTTGTAGAATGTTTTGCATGGTATGAGTTGTGTCATGTCTGTGCATATTGTCATTCCACCTTTTTATATCTAATATTGATAAATTTTTTTAAGTTTTCAAGTGGAGAAGTAAATCAAATTTGGGGTCTAAGAATAATTGGCGCCAGTCAATAATGTCAATGTAGACATTGTAAAATAGAAATCAGCAGGATTGTGTTAGGAATCTGCGTTAAAAGGAAAAATTGCAGTCTTTGTAGGTGTTTCTGCATTAGCTGTTTGATATTTGACACCCTTTTTATGGCCTTTCTGATGTGCTTTTCAAAATTGATTAGCAGGTAAGTACTTGAGTATGTTGTGTAATTTCCTTGATTGAGCTGTTAAAACCTTTGCCAGTTGGCAGGCAAGTATTGCAATTTTGAGGTTTTGCAACAAGAGCAAAGACTTATTGCAATTTTTCAAACATCATGCACCAAACACTTTAGAACTGTGCACTTCTTTTGTACAATTTGTAAAGAAAAGTCTTGCTTTTTAGTGAGAAGGTCCTGACTTTACAGCTGCAGTTATTTTACAATCTGATGGCTCTGATCTATAGATACAAACTCAGTGGGTGTCACAGGTTGGAGAGTGAAATGTGATGAGGTGGAAGAATCCCACCTTGCGATGGGAAATGAGATGAAATATGACAACTGTGGATACTATTAAGAAAATCCACTTTTTTTTTATGGCTCACTGTCAATTCTATTATATGGAGCAAACAAAGACACCATGGGCTATGGTAAGATTTGAGGCAGAATTATCTGAAGTTCGCCAGGCCTATTTTAACATGGGGAGCAGCTTGCTGCACCTTTTAAGCATTTGACAAGTCAGAAGTTTCTCACTAGGCAGCGGTAAGCTTCCAATTAAGGGAGTTTATAGCAGTTAAATTGTTTATTAAAGCCACAATTTGTCTTATTAATATTCAGATTCCTATCTTGATCAAAGCTGTCAAACCAGCTAGAAGTTGAGAATTCACTTTATGGAAGTCAGAGCAGGTATCTGGTGATTACAGTTAGCCTTTTGCTCAGCATCAAAGTGCATCTTCGGGCATGATTCACAGGCACCAGCTGCACTCACTTCTCGTCCTTGCATATTGGTATTTGCATTTGCCAATCCCTCGTGACCATTGTGGCTCTGATCCATTTGCAGGCCTCTTAGCAAGCGCAGACTTGCATTGCAGGGTGCATCAGCAACTAGCGTTGAAAGGCTGCTGCAAGGACAGTTTGCTCACAGGGGCAGGCACCCAGCCAATGGATTAGACCAGGCTGCATCTCTGGACTGCTCGCTTGCTCTTTTAATGCTCCCTCACTTAGCACCTACTGCATGCTCACAGCATCTTGCCTTACTTTGTCATGCCAGTTAGCGTGTTGGCACTTCATCCAGAACCAAAAGCTATCGGTACTGCTGTATCGACGAGCTGTTCTACATAAACACACAGGTTGTTTGCCATATTTGTCTGAGGCAGCAGGGGAAGGGATGCTGAGTAATATCTTGCTGCACAGTACTTTAAGACATACATTTAACACGTACAGCACGTGCTAGTTGCTTGTGCTGCAAACACGCTGTGCGTTTATTTGACCAAGTGGCCATGTCAGAAACTAGGTGGGGACTAAACCTTAGTCCAGTCACTGGGGGGGACTGCTGTCCATTAGGGGCTCCATTACCATCAGTTACCAGCACAGTCCAAGAATTTGGGCATCCTCATTTGTCCGCTCATGCCACTCGCAGTCAGGGATTATTTCCAGCTACTTGGGTGTGGGCAACAGTTTGTCCTGTACAGCCATCAAAAGCAGTCAGGGGAATCGGATATTTTCAGTCAAGCAGCTAGCAACACAGCAGTTGGGAGTCTAGTCAGTCATATCTAGGGGCAGTTTGTCCAAGTCAATCATTGGCATCGTGGGGGAGGATCACTGCCAAAAGTTGGGGCATTTGAGGCTGATGGGGGATTTTGTAGATTTGGAGACAGGGAGGGTGACATGGGGAGCTGAAGGTGCATGACGAGTAGGTAAAACAGTATCAGAGGGCATGGTAGAGTACAGGATTGAGAGTTATTGGCACCACCAAGGAAACGTAAAGGATCAGGGTGTTCTTCATTTAAGGTGCATGGTCAAGGATCAGAGGTAGAGAGGACAGCTGGAGGCAAAGTTCAATGTGGTGGGCCTCCACTTGAGGGTAGTGAGGTAAAAGTGGACATGCAGTTTCTAGGGATGTGGGGGTACCTGACAGCCAGGCAGTGCCTGGTACTGGTGGTATCCAGTGCGAACTGTGTTTCCTGCCAGCCCTTGCCTGTCTCTAGAGCAAAATGCAACCTTCTAATGGGTGGGAAAACATGGGATTCAGGTCTTTTGGACACCAGGACATTGAAGGGACAAATTCAATCTACATTTAATTTTTAATCATGTCATCATCCATTGAAATGCATGCATAGTGAACATGCTCAGGTTCAACTACTGATTTGAAGGTGACCCATGACTTGATATTTGCAACTTGAACATTGGCAGCTCAATTATGCTGAAGTTAGCAGGAATGAGTTAAATAGAGGTGAATATTGGCCAAAAGCAGGCCGTTATATGTGTGACTTTCAAACGTGCTCTGGGAGGTGGCAACCATTGCTGCTTCATCTATTATGTAAATGTAACAATGGTCTGTACTGAAAGAAATGAAAAGTTAAATAATTGATGTGGATCTGGAATGAGGAAGGGTTTGGAGCAATACAGACATGCAATGCTTTGCCTGCTGAGCTGCCACGGCACCTTCACCAAGTTGCCGCACACACTGAGGCTGAAACTGAAAGAATGTCCGAGATATAGCCCTCGTTTTCAGGACACGGCAGTGCTTGGAGAAGTATGTTCACCCCTCATCTGGAGGACATGCCACCTGTCTTTCTTCTCCAGTCCATTGAGTAGGATCCCAACCTGTTTAGCCTTTGCTCATATGACAAACCATCCATACCAAGAATATTCCTCGTGAGCCTCTTCTAAACTGCTTCCATTGAAATGATACCTTTCCTTTAAATAAGGGGACCAAAACTACGGTCAGTACTCCAGATGTGATCTCACCAACACCTTGTAAGTTTCAATAAGACTTCCCTACTCTTAAACTATGTCCTTGGGGGGGACAAAGGAGCCAACGTACTATTAGCTTTCCTCATTACCTGCTGCTCCTGCTCCTGTGTACTAGCTTTGTGTTTCATGCACAAGTATTCCCAAGTCCTTCTGTAATGCAGCTTTCTGCTATTTTTCTCCAGTTAAACAACACTTTCTTTTTTTGTCCTTCTATTCTCCCATCCAAAATGAAGGACTTCACATTTTATCACATTATTCTCCATTTGCCAACTTTTGTCCACTTATTGAACCTATCAATATCTCACTGTAAATTCTCTGATAAGCATTACCCATTGGAGACATGACTGATGATATCATTGCATAACCCCTAACTGATGGTGGAGCGTATGATAGAGCTGTTGAAGACGTGGTTCCGCTGCTTGGGCTAGGAGGACTCTCCACTTTGGTGTGGACGGTGTGCTGCATCATTTTGGCATCCTGGGCTCTGCAAAATTGAGTCCAGCAATGAGGGGATGTGCTTGATGCTGAGGAACAGAGGGAATGGGAGCAGACATCTGAGGAGAAGGATGAGGACATAGAGGGGAGAAAGTTGTCCTCGTGTTTGGCAGAGCTCAATTGTGATGGGTGCTACAAACCAGGTAGGACCTGATTGACACCTGGTTCAAGTAAATGAAAGCTGGGTACAGCTGACAATCATGAAATGTTCAATAGTCATTGGTCATGATGCCAACATTTGTGTTTGCATTATTGTGACAACCTGCAGCTTCTGTTTCTTCATGTTTGTGTGTGTTTTTTTTTGGAGACAACGAATAGATGTCTGGAATTGTCTGATAGATTATCTGAATGTGATGTTTCCCTATTTGGCAATGACAAGATGAGGGCCTACAGAGTGCAACAGGGACATAATGATGATCTGTTCAGATATTTACATGGGATGTCACTAGGACAGTACATTGTGTATAGAGTGGTCTTAAAAAGCACCCATAATGAGTGAATGATGCTGTTTGCGCGAGCGTGTCAACCATGACGATGATGTGCCGTGTGAATTCTGCGCTATTACACTGCTGACCAGGGGCAATGCTGGATTGTCAACACTGGTCTGGTACACAGCAGCCTTTCAGAGATGGCGCAGGTGCAAGCGATGTCATTTGTCCAATGGATATCCGAATGGAGAGTTATTCTAGGAGAGGCAAGTGGTAAAATGGGGTGGAATTGGACCTGAGAAACACCACCTGGGCAGGTAGAATGTTAATGAGGAAAGTTTGGCAAGATGCATGAGAAATCTTGCTAAGCCTTGTGGCAACAAACCCTCCAGAAAATTTGATGTGACTTGTACTTGCCCCAAAAGCTCTTAACAATTCAAAACTGCCTATGTACGGTGTATCATGAGAAAACAATCAAAAATGTATTTGGCTGATTTTTCTTTGTTTTTTTTGTGGGGGGGGTGAAAAAGCATTGTCTCTCCTTTTTCTTGTTTGCCAATTCTCTGATCTGTTAGGTCCTGTTAAGAGGTGAGTGATGGTAGTCAAGGATGATCAGAGTCTTCACATCATTTACTTGATGATGAGCCATGAAGAAACCAGTCATGATTAGACTCTATCTGTGTTGGCATATGAATATGTTCCACGACACAGCAAATTGAAACTTGAGCGTAATCTCTTTCTAATGTTTTTTATGCAAAGAGTACATGGTTGGGCATTTTATTTGTGGTCTAATTCCAGAATTTCGAGGTGGAAGCTGATGATTTGGTGCCTATCAATGAACTGGGCCGAGGAGCATATGGAGTGGTGGAGAAAGTGAGGCACGCACCCAGTGGAACCATAATGGCTGTGAAGGTACTTACTTTGAACCTTTTTGCTAAAATTTGATACTTTTAAGGACACTTTTGGAGGTATGCTTAAAATTAATGCCTGGCCATTCATGAGCAAAATCTGGAATGCTGTTTTCAATTTTCAATCTCCATTAGACAGATTTTGATTTGTAAACGTATGAAGTGATATGTAGCAAAAGACAGAGTAATGGAATTCAGGTAAAAATGAACAAAAATTAAACATCAGCAATGTTTATTTTCCCTTTAAGCTGTCTATGGTCATAGTTTATTCCCATTTGAAGTTTTTTTTGTTTTATTTATACTTTTTGACTTGTTTTCTATGTTCTGAACTTCTGCCTGATTTTATGAAATTCAAGAAAGCCTTGTTCTTTGTAAGTTCATTCGAGTTCTCTTCTGATCTCTGTCAATTCATTGAGTACTTCTGGATGCCATCTAGTGGTCTGGGAATAGAATTCCTTGCTCAGAACTAGGCATGTCAGTGAAATGCTGAGGAAATAGGAAGGAGTCTTTTAGGTCATAATAACTGATTAGAGTGGTTCTTCTGCATTACATGAACAATAATATATTTTTAAAAGATGAATTAAAGCATTTAAATTAGCATTCAGCAGAACTTAGTAGTGCCCTCCACTTGGCAGAATCCTGCACTACTATGAAATGCATGGTTCTTTCTCTTGGTTGACATGTATCATAGTTACCAACACATCAATGAAAACGATGAGTCTTCTTATAGTGGAATGTAAGTGAGAAAGGTATTTATGCAGTTTTGATATGGGGTGCACTATCTATAAGAATAGTTGAAGTAGGTTCATTGGTGTATGACTCTGACTCTGTGATGCCTTTCAAAAGGGAAGTGGATAAATCTTTGAAAAGGAAAAGAATTGCAGAATTTTGGAGAAAGAGCAGAGAAGTGAAACTAATTAAATATGTCATGATGGGCCGAAGAGCCCTCAGTACTGCAAGATTTAATTATAATGATTCTGAACATATTAACATTTGCAGAAAAGGAAGAACTCCATTGAATTCAATGTCATGGGTTTGTACTCTGCGCAATGTGACATTGAAGCCACTACATGTTGTGTGGTGAAACTGAATCTTCATTGTTATGGTAATATAGGACAGATTTTGAAAGGAAAATTTTGTTGGTCTCTTCTTAAAATAAAATGGCTAGGCAAAGGGAAGTATTTATCTTTGTGCATTTTTTTTTCCAACAGAGATTCACTACAGATGGACGGAAACCTCCCAAACTGATTTCCTTCCCCAATCCTAGAGTCACTAAAGCCATTCGGAGTACCATACCTAAACCATTACTGGTTTGTCTGACCTCTGCTGCACTTAGTACAGGTCACAAATTGTGCGATGAAGTAATTATGGTGGGAAAAGTGTAATCTTAATCACCTTGGCTAACACACAGATTTGTGTGGGTTAATGCATTGTTTCATTGTGACCTGTTGCATTTCTGATTCTCAGAAATTAGTTTATGTTTACAGTAATAAATATGGAAGGAATAGATAATTTAATATCTTTTTCTGTTCTGCACTTTGTTGCATACACATTTAGCTCCATTCTATTTAATTACTGAAAAATGGATGTTAGCAAAAACTGCTGGATTTGCTGCATCACACTGCTGTCCAAAATACCTTGTATTCCCTGATTTTTGTTAACCTGTGCTTGCATGCTACTGGATGAACTTTGAATCTCCCGAACTACAGTACGATTTTTTTAAAATAATAGGCGGAACATTTAATTATATGAATAAAAAATTGTCCTGCCCCTTTGATGCTGCCTGACCTCCTGTGTTCCTCCAACTCCACACTGTATTGACTCTGATTTCCAGCATCTGCAGTTCTTGCTATCTCCTCATGGTCTGGATTAGCTTCTTACCATGATTAGGTTGCAAATTCCTTGCCTAATCTTTGCTGTTTGAAGGCACCACAGATATTTACTGAAAAAAATTTTGGCTCAACAAGGGAAAGTGCACAATGCAGCTCCTAGATTTTACATTTTACTATCTAATTTAAGTCCTTTTTCTCAACCAGTTTCACATAGTATTTGTATTTCGTTCATATTTGAATTAAAAGTTCATGTGAAAAGAATTAGCCTTCACCCTATTGCGCAATAGGTACCTACCTCCTGTGCCTCTGAATTTTTGCTGATATCCCTTTGATAGGGAAGGGTGGGTTAACCCTGATTTATGGTTTCTCTCATCAGCATTTCAGGGATAACCCCAGCATTTTGGACTCCAAACTCTCAATGGCGTCCACTCCCCACCAGTGAGTTTTGAAGATGGTAAGCCTACTGACTTGGTCTTCTTGCGAGTTGACAGTAAGCTTAACCTTTTTGCTGCTGCTTTGTTTCTGAGCTCTGTCACGAGAAGCTTCTTTTACAGGCATAAAAATTAACATTGTGCAGTTATAGCTGAGTTACTAGAGGTTCATGGGAGTCAGACACCAGTCGACCTTCATGATTTGCTGTGTTTTCTCTGCACCATGGGAAATACTTAACTGGCAAATGCCGTTGGAAGATTGATCAGTTTGGATAAGCAGGGCAAAATGGGAATCATGTTGTTATGAAGCAACAGTGCCATAATTCGCTACCATGCTAAGAACTCAGCATGTTTGAATGTACGATTGGCCATTTGTAGGTTGTCTAGATGTCCTGAGTTTTTAATAGTCCCATGTCATTTGACCATTTATTGATGTGCACAGGTTTACTTATTTATACTTAGAAGGCCTTTGAGATGTACCTTTGAAGTTGAAAGGATTAGGTGCCAGTTGAAGATGAATGGACCCCATTGCGATTTGCCTATCTTCATTTACAGCTGGACATATGCAATGGGGCGAAAGTCTTATATTTTATAGTGTATATTTCATGACCTCAAATGTCTTGTTTGACTTCCAGTGAATTTTATAACCGTGTATTCAATTATAACGAAAGGATTACAGCAGCTAATTTGTACAGTGTGGTCCCATGAACAATAATACGAGGATGACCGGGTTGTTTTATTCTAGTTGCTTGACCAGTAAGTATCCCACAGCACAATTTTGAAATCTGCATTCTTCAGCTTTAGTAAGAAGACTTTTTTTCCCTTACTCATGTTCCTCCAGTTTGATCTTGGAGCATGCATAATGTAATGCAAAGCAAGTTTTAGCTATAATTCAGTTGTAGCACTCTCGTCTCTGAATCAGGTTATTGATTCAAATCCTGCCCCACAGACTTCAGTATAAGAGCTGGGGGATGCTCCAGTGCAATACTGAAGGAATGCTACAGCGTTGAATGTGCAACTTTGGGATGTTTAAATCATGGCCATTAAAACCATAAGAGATAGGAACAGAAGTAGGCCATTTGGTCCTTGAGCCACTCCACTATTCAATGGGTTCATGGCTGATCTGACATTCCTCCCATCCACTTTCCTACTTTTTCCTTGTAACCCTTGATTCCTGTACTGATCAAGAATCTATTTATCTCAGCCTTAAATGTAGTCAAGGACTCTGCCCCCACAGCTCTCTGTGACAAGGAGCCTCAAAGACTTTCAAACTACTGAGAAAAGAAATTCCTCCTTCTCTTCATCTTAAATTAGTGTTCCTTTATCCTGAGACTATGTTCTCTGGTCCTAGACTATCCCTAGAGAAACATCCTCTCAGCATTTACCCTGTTCAGCCTCTTCAGAATTCAAATGTTTCAATGTGACCACCTCCCGTTCTTCTAATTTCCGGTGAGTGGAGTCCCAACCTGCTCAACCTTGGCTCATAAGACAATCCCTGCATTTCGGGGATCATCCTTGTGAGCTGAACTGCCTCTCGTGAAATGATATTTTCTCTTAAATAAGGGGACTAAAACTGTTCACTGTACTCCCAGATGTGGTCTCACCGGCACCTTGACCGATTTACAGCAAGACTTCCTGACATTTATCCTCCAATCTCTTAAAATGAGGGCCAACATTCCATTAGTCTTCCTGATTACCTGCTGTACCTGTGTGCTAGCTTTCCATGTTTCCTGAATATTCCCAAGTCCTGCTGCAATGCCGCTTTTCTGCAGTTTTTTTCCATTTAAGTAACACTTTTTTTCTGTTCTCCCATCCAAAATGAAGGACTTCACATTTTACCACATTATATTCCATTTGCCAACTTTTTGTCCACTTACTTAACGTATCAATATCTCTCCGTAAACTGCTTGTATCCCTCTTGCAGATTGCCTTTTCACCTATCTTCGTGTTGTCTGTAGTTTGCATGGAGTACATTGGCTTCCTTCCTCCAAGTCATGAATATTTATTGTAAATAGTTGCGGTCCCAGCATTGATCCCTGTGGAACCCTACTGATTACAGGTCACCAACTAGAAAAGAACCTCTTATTCTTACGTATTTTTTCTGCCCATTAGCCAACAAGCTATCCATGCCAATATGTTACACCCAACACCATGGGCCCTTACCTTATAACTTAACCTTCTGTGAGGTACTGTGTCGATCATCTTCTGCAAGTCCAAATACAGCACATCTACTGCTTCCCCTTTTTCCATTCTGGTTTAAGACTTCCTTGAAAAACTCTGATAAATTAGTTAGACAGATTTCCCTTTCATGAAGCCATGCTGATTTTGCTTGATTAGTTTATGATTTTTTCAAATATGCTGCTATTACTTCCTTAAGAATTGGTTCCAACATTTCTTTTTTCGAAAACTAGGTATTTGACTAATCAGCCTATAGTTACCCTGTTTTTTTCCCTCTCGCCCTGTTTTGAATAGGAGTGGCAAATTGGCAATTTCCCAATCCTCGAGTACTTCACCAGAGTCCAAGGACATTTTTAGGAAATTACAGTACTGCATCCACTATCTCTGTAGCTCCTTCTTTTTGGATCCTAGGATACAAGCCGTTAGGGCCAGGATTTATCTGCCTTTAGCCCCGTTAGTTTGTCTAATGTTATTTCTCCAGTGATGGTGATGGTACTTTATTAATGGGATCTTTTGAAGTTCCTTCCACTATTGCAAAATATCTGTTTAACTCCATTTCCTTGTTTCCGTAACTAACTTTCCAATCCACTTTCTAAGGACCCTATCTGTCCCCTCAGGTGGATGTAGAAGATCCAATTGTACTATTTTGATCAAGAACAGTAGAGTTATGTTTAGTGCTTTGACTGACTAATATTTATTGCTCTATCAACATCACCAAAATAGTTTCTGACCTTTTTATTATCTTGCCATTCGTTGGACCTTTCCATGTGCTGAAGTGTCTAGTTTATTAGGTATAATGGAACCAAACTTCAGAATTATTTAACTGTCAGTAAAGTGCTTTGAGATATCTGGTAGTCATGAAAGGTTCAATATCAGGTTTTTAAAACTATTTTGAGAGGTGGGTGTTGTTGGCTGGGGCAGCATTAATTATCCGTTCCTAGTTGCCCTTGGGGGGGGAAAAAAAAATGGTGCTGAACTGCCTTCTTGACTCGCTACAGTTCTTGTGTTGTAGGTAGGCCCACAAGACCCACATTTGGGTTGGAGTTCATGGACTTTGCCATTCCTTCAATGTCACTGGGTCAATGTATTTGCAATTAGGATGGTGATTGGCTTGAGAGGAACTTGCAGATGGTGCTGTTCCCATGCATCTGCTATCCTTATCCTTTTTTGATGGAATTGGCCTTAGGTTTAGAAGGTACTTTCTAAGGAGCCTTGGTGAATTTCTGCAGTGCACACTGCTGTTACTGAGCGTTGGTGATGGAAGAGTGGATTTTTTTTTTGTGGATGCGGTGTCAGTAAAGTGTGCTGCTTTGTCTTAGATGCTATCAACTATTTTTGAGTGTTGTCAGAGCTGCATTCATCCAGGCAAGTGGAGACTATTCCATCACACTCCTGAGTAGTACCTTGTAGGTGGTGGACAGGCTTTGGGGAGTCGGGAGGTGAGTTACTCATTGTAGGATTCTTAACCTCTGACCTATGCTTATAGTTATTGCGTTTATATAGCTAGTTCAAGTCAGTTTCTGGTCAATGGTAGCCCCCAGAATGTTGAAGATGGGACATTTAGTGATAGTGACGCTGTTGAATTTTAAGGGACGTTGGTTGTCTTCTGTCTTGTTGGAGATTATCATTGCCTGGCATTTGTGTGGAGTGAATGTTACTTGCCACTTTCCAGCCAAAACCTGGATATTATCCAGGTTCACTGCATTTGGACACGGACTGCTTCAGTGTATGAAGAGACTACAAAGGGTCCTGAAGCTTTTGTCATCAGCAAACATGCCCGCTTCTGACCTTACGATGGCAGGAAGGTTGTTGATGTAGCAACTGATGATGGCTGGGCTAGGAAACTACCCAGAGGAACTCTTTAAGAGATGTGCTGGGACTGAGATGACTGACCTCCAACGATCATGATCATCTTCCTTGTGCTAGGTATGATTCTAATCTGCAGAGAACTTTCTTCCCCCCGATTTCCATTGACTCCAGTTTTGCTGGGGCTCTTTGTCACATTTGGTCAACTGAGGCCTTGATGTAAGGGCAGTCACATTCACCTTACCCCCTGGAATTCAGCTCTTTTGTTCATGTTGGAACTACGACTAAGCTTAGTGACCCTGGTGGAAATCAAACTGGGTGTCAATGAGGAGGTTATTGCTAAGCAAGTGCTGCTTAATAACATTGTTGTTGACATCTTCCAAATTTTATTGGTTCTTGAAAGTAGATTGATAAGGTGGTAATTGTCCTTTCTGTGTGCAGATATACCTGGGCAATTTTCCACATTGTCAGGTAGATGCTAGTGTTGTAACTGTACAGGAGCAACTTGGCTAGGAGTGCATCAAGTTCTGGAGCACATGTCTCCAGTACAGTTGCTGTTGTCAGGGCCCACAGCCTTTGCAGTATCCAATGCTTCCAGTATCATCTTGATATCATGTAGAGTGAATTGAATTGGCTAATGACTAGTACCTGTGATGGTGTGGATCTCTGGAGGAGCCGAGGTGGATTATCCACTTGGCACTTCAGGCTGAAAATTGTTGCAGATGTTTTGGCCTGATCTTTTTGCATTGATGCGCTGGGCTTCCTCATAATTTAGAACTGGGATATTTGTGGAGCCTCTTCCTCCATTGACTTGTTTAATTGTCCACCTCTACTTATGTATGTCGAGCTTAGGTCTGATCTGTTGGTTATGGAATCACATACCTCTGTCTATTATTTGCTGCTTATGCTGTTTGGCATGCAAGCAGCACATTTTGTAGCTTCAGGTTGACATCTCATTTTTAGACCTACCTTCTGTTGCTCCTGGCATGCCCTCCTGCATTTTTCTTCAGCATTGATTCCCTAGCTGGATGGTAATGATGGAGTGGGCCTGTATGCTTGATCACGGGGTTGCAGATTGTGTTGGTACACGATTCTGTTGCTGATGGCCCACAGAGCCTCATGGGTGCCCAGTCTCAAATTGGTAAATATACTTGATATCTGCTCCATTTAGCATGGTGATAGTACTACACAACATCTTAATGTGGACTTAGTTTCCACAAAGACTGTATGATGGTCTCTTATATTTAAAATGTCATGGAGCAATACATCTGCAGCAGGCAGATTGGTGAGGACAAAATCAAGTACTGACTGTTTTCTTTGTTTTTCTTGTTGATTCTGTCACCACCTGCCACAGGCCCAGTCTAGCAGCAATGTTCTTTAGGACCAGCTCAATCACTGGTGCTGCTGCTGAGTCACTCTTGATGGCGTACATTGAAATCCCCACCCAGGGTTTGTTCTGTACCCATACCACTTTCAGTGCTTCCTTCAAGTGGTGTTCAACAGGAGGAGTACTGACTCATTAGCCAGGGGAGTGTGGAGGCTAGGGTTTGTGGTAAGCAGTAATCAGGAGGAGGTTTCCTTGCCATGTTTGACCTGATGCCATGAGGCTTCATAGGGTCCAGAGTTAATGTTGAAGACTTCCAGAGCAACTCCCTCCCAACCATGTACCACTCTGCTGCCATCTTTGCTGGGTCTATCCCTCATAATTAGATATGGTGATAGTGGTGTATGAGACATTGGCTGTCAGGTATGATTCCATGAAATGAATGTCAATCTTGATTAGTCTGTTAGACAAGCTTGCCCAATTTTGGCAATAGTCCCAAGACACGGGGGGACTTTGCACGGTCAGTAGGGCTGTATTTGCTGTTATCGCTTTGATACCTAGGTCAATGTGGGATGATTTGTCGGGTTCACTTTTTTTTAGACTTTCTAGCGATTATTACAACTGAGTGGCTTGCTAGGTTGTTTCAAAGGGCAGTTGAAAGTCAACCATATTGCTGTGGGTCTGGAGTCACATGAATCAGGTACAGATAGCAGTTTGACTCCTTAAAGGGAAATTATTTTAACAATGCTCTCCAGATTTTTAACAAATTGAATTCAAATTCCATCTGGAATCCTGTCATCCGGTGGGATTCTAACTCTGGTACCCAGAATAATGCTTGGGTCTCTGGATTGCTATCTTGTGATAATAGCACTATGCCATCACCTTCCTCTAATTAATGCAATTTTTTTTTGTGTGATGTCCGTGCACACGAGTTCCAGCTTGTGGTCACTGAAGAGCAATTAGACACAGGATTTGTAGCAGATTTTATCTCTACTGAAACACAGCAGTGTTGTAGTCACGTGCTCTCACTGCTGCCTTTTGCTAAGATTGAGTTGCTCACCAACTAACATATTTGCCCACTAAAGCCATCAGGGAGAACCTTGGAATAAAGCGATCGTAATGTACACATTTTATCATTTTGTTTTGCAGAGAATCCGGGCAACTGTGAATAGCCAGGAGCAGAAGAGATTACTAATGGATCTCGATATCTCAATGAGGACTGTTGACTGTTTCTACACCGTTACATTCTATGGAGCCCTGTTTCGAGAGGTAGTAAGAAATGTTTAATGAAGATTTTGCAGGAGGAGAAAGCTTTTTTGAAAAACATTGCAACCTTTCAGCTTGAAAATGGGGGTTGAGAATCTTGTTATAGGTCAATCAAAGCACCATTACTCTCCTGTCACCTTTTAAGAGAAGGAAAGATACCATTAAATGAGTTTACTTGCCTTTTATGATTGATATCTACTCTGACATGGAATGGATGGCAATCTTTGAATCAAAATAATGTTTTACTTCTTACTTGGTAATGAATCTATCAGATGATCCGCTGTTTTTAACTGATGCTGTCTCTGTAATCACACACCCGAAATTGCTCATAGTGTTCTGTTAAGTCTTCCCATAACTCCACTCTGTAGTTTCATTGTTATTGCAAAACTAACTTTATCACAATATTGTTCAAGTGCTAATGTTTGCCAATCACTGCATCTATTTCCATAAGGGAATTTTTTTTTTATCCATCTGCTTGGACGTGGTATGGCACGCCTCTGAGGCACATTGAACTCGAATCACAGAGGTAACACTACCTATGTACTATAAGACCCTCTAAACAACAGAGGATGGTTGATTTTCAGCAAGACTGTGGTTTAATTCAGGATGAGTTATTACTTGCACTATTTAGTTATCCTATTTTAAGTCTTAAAATTTAGTTCCAGTTTTTGTGCAGTCTTTGTTCTCAGTGTTCCTATGTGTTCTAATATTAATAATTTGAGTCAAAAATCCAAAAACTCCTTTTTATGTAATTTGGTAACATCTTTTGAATTTTTGGTCAGCCCTCCTAATCTCTCTTCCTTTGATTCTGTGTTTCTTTGCCAGATATGTTGCTGAAATACCTCAGTATTTTAGAGTCATTGAGTCTACAGCACAGAATCGGACCCTTTTGGTCCAACTCATCCATGCTGACCAGGTCTCCCAAACCAAACTAGTCCCATTTGCCTGCATTTGGCCCTCTAAACTTTTCCTATCTGTGTATTGGTCAAAATGCCTTTTAAGTGTTATACCTCTGTCTGCATCTACCACTTCCTCTGGCAGTTCACTCCCATATATGCACCACCCTCTCTATGATATTTTCTTCTACCTTTTTAGAAGTGTTCTATAAATCCTAGTATGCTTGTTGTAGACACAGCTGCTTTCCATATCACATCGATGGTTGGACTGAACGATAACACGTTGGACATGTGGAACGAAAGGTTTGATTGGAAGGAATAATAGTTACCTGTACAGTGCCTTCAACACATCCCAAGGTGTTTCACTGGAATATTATAACAACAAAAATTGACACTCATGGGTTCGTTAGGGCAGTCAAAGACGGAGGTGTTGTGAGGGAATTCCATAGCTTAGGATGTGCATTGCAGCAAAAAACTATTTTTTACGGATTGTGTGTACAGGCTGTCCAATGTGTATTGCACTCGGAGGCCTTCTCCGACTTTCTCCTCGTAATCCTGTATATTGTTCCTTTGTAAATAACCATCCAATTCACTTTTGAGCGCTTCAATGGGACCTACTCCCACCACACTTGGGCAGCGTGTTCTGGACCCTAACTAATTGTTGCTTGAGAGAGATTTTCCTCTTATCACTTCTGCAAATTACTTTAAATCTGTGCCGTTTTGTTCTTGATCCTTTCATGAATGGCAACATTTTCTCCCTGTTTACTCTATCCATACCTCTTCACATCTGAATACTACAATCAGATTTCCTCTCCGCCTTTGGTTCAAGAAAATACATTCCAACCTTTCCAGCCTGTCTTCACAACTGAACTTCTCATTCCTGGAATGATTCATGTAAATTTCTTCTACTCTCTCTGATACCTTCACAAAATGTATCACCTGAATTGGATACAATACTCTAACTGAGGTCATGGTAACCTCCATGCTCTTGTAGCAAAACTAGACTTTCTTTTGGGCGATAAGGCGAGGCAGGTGACTGAAGTAAAAGTTTGGCAACACATTGGGTCTAGTGATCATAATTCAATTAGTTTCAAAATGGTTATGGAAAAGGATAAGCCTCCCATACAAGTTAAAGTTTTTTTTAATTGGTGTTAGGCAAATTTTAATGGTATGAGACACAAACTTTCAGAAGTTGATTGGAGTAGACTATTTGCAGGTAAAACGTCATCTGACAAGTGAGAGGTGTTCAGGAGTGTGCTGACGAGAGTTCAGAGCATTTTGTTCCTGTTGGAGTGAAGGATAAGGCTGGCAAGATTAAGGAACAATGGATGAATAAAGATATTGATGTCCTAGTCAAGAATAAAAAAGATTTTTTTAAAAAATATAGACAGCTTGGTTCAATTGAATCTCTTAATCAATATAGAGCGTAAGGGCATTCTTAAGAGTGAAATCAGGAATGTAAAGAGGGGATATGAGATAGCATAAGGTTAAGGATAATCCCAACAGATTCTACAAATACATTAAGATCAAGAGGGTGACTAGCGAGAGGGTAGGACCTCTTAGAGATCAAGGAGATTGTCTTTGTCTTTGTCTTTGTCTTTGTCTTTGTCTTTGTCTTTGTC